GATAGATATATATATAGATATTAATAAAAATGTATCATTGACTGTGAGTTTTGCAAAACTTATAATAATATTTTATTAGTGTTAATGTTAACTCCACCAAGAATATTTACATACACTGAACCATGTGTTGAGCTTTAATGGCTGTACGCCTAAGATTTACTGAGGAAAAAATGGTGAGAATGAGTTTAGTATTCAGCTATGACTGATTAAACACGCAGATACTTCATTGCTCCTGACAAACAGATTACACTGAGTGGAGCGGTCGACCGTTCCAAGATGGCTACCCTACAGCTCGTCAGCGCCAATAGGCGATAGCGGTCAATGCTGTATCTAGTGTTTATATCTATTATAAAACCTTCAAAGTGTTCTTCTTCTAATACGTTTAGTGATGGCTAGTAAGTAGCTTAATGGAGCACTTCCGCCACCAGGTGGTAAGACAAGTTGGATTCTAGTCCCCACATACAGAGCCGGTCCAGAAGTGTAAATGGAAACGCAACGAGACACGAGCCGAACTGACCTGATCCGCACCGTAACAGTGGAAAAGGGGCATTTGTGTCTGTGGTTCCGGTCTTCCCTGTGTTACCATCATGTCCTGTGTGGATGTGTCTGTGGGTCCCCACATCCACTATTGAACATTTTTTTATGGAGAAACCTTATAGTGACAAGCATGCTCACACAGATGTTTAGATTCATGTGTTTATCAGCTACACACTCATTTGGGTTGTGGTGGCCACTAAATGAATCTTGTATTACCATGTACTGTATAAAACACTTTCTAATGATGTTATAAGTATAATTATATGTTTGTTGTTGTGATTTCTTGGTTTTGTCTTGTCTTTTTTTTTCTTGCCGCAGGTCTCGAGGCAGACTTCAATGATGTTGATTTGTGTTCTCCTTATCCCTCTCTCTCTCCTCTATTCCTATCTCCTTCTTTACCTTTTAACTCTTTTCTCACTTTTCTGCTTTGTTATCTTCTTCTTTTTCATCCCCATATCCATTACATCGGAAACAAGCCCATAGCAAATTCTAATAAAATTTAATTTTTATATCAAGTGGATCATTAGTGCCAGTCATAATGCTCTGCTTGTGAAAGTAAATCTGTTGGGCATCACTTTGACACTCAGACAATAATTCTAAGTGTCACAATGCCGGACAGGACAAGGGAACAAGTAAAAAAAAAAGCTTCTCAAGTAGTAATGTCAATGTACAGCTGGATTCTAAAATGTGAACAGGAATTAACTGAATCTAAAATCACCAAAATAAAAGTGTTTGTCACAGATGGACCAAAGAGCAGCAGGCATGAGGACACATGGACAGACCTGAAGATAAACAGTGTTGGACTCTGGTTGGCTCAGTCTGACGAGGGACAACAGAGAGTTGGCAGTGTTTGTCAGTCATGACTCTCAGCAGCAGTCCTGTCCCGTCCTGACACCATGAGGGAGGAGAAGTTCCACCTGTCCTGCAGAGAGACGTCCAGGAAGATCTGCCTCCAGGTGCTGCCTTCATACCTGCTGGCCGGGCAGGGCATGGTGACCGCCGGCATGCTGCTAGACCAGGTGCAGGTCAGTCGGCTCTGTTCATTCCTCTGTGAAAGCAGGATGTTTGATCCAACATGTACAAGAGTTACAGAAATCATAACTTGCTCCAAAAGTTCTGCAAAATATTTTGGGATGTTTGGACAAGTAGCTTTAAAATTAAACAATAAAACAAAGGCTTCGCAGCCGCTGACCGTGATATGCTGTGGTTTCAAAAACCATCCATGTATTTTTTTATACACATGTCCAAAGCTCTAACGAATCATTTTCAGCTGTTTGTTTTGGGGCGGGTGAGCAGTGGAGGGGGTCATGATGACCAGGTGAGGTGACTTGTTCTATAGAAACGAATAAACAAATGTCAGTGATAAGGTAAAGCTGCTTCTGACTTTTAAGTTTTAGCAATAAAACAATCAAGAATTAAAAAAAAAAAACATGCATTTATGTTAAACACTCTTTGCTAAAAGTTAATCATTTATCTAAAAGGCAGCAGTTTCAAATCTGTAATCTCATTTATTGAACCCTAACCAAAAGGTTTTTTCTATTCTCTGATCAACTTATGTCTAATTTGTGAATAAAAACATCTAAATTAAAGTAAAAATCCCTGAAAGAACTATTACTTCCCTTTGTGCACAATAAAGATCTTTTATTTATTTTCTTTTTATTTTCAACAAATCTATAAGTCACAATAACAAGTTGCAAGTGTTAGCTTTAGCCTTTATAAAGCAGCTGAGTCAGCACACAGCATAATGTTCTATCACCGGTGGTGCAGTGTAAAACATCTGTGCCCTACTTTAATTAACAACGTGGACACTTTCTAGAACTCTATCAAGTGGATAAAACTTTACATGGAGGACCTCTTGAGAAAAGAACCGACTCACTGTGGTGAAAGAGCTGTCAGTTCAAATCCATCCTGAAGGTCAACCCAATTAAAGATGGCTCCCACAACAAACACACAAACACTGTGCGTGTAATAGTAAACATAAACTGCTACAAAGTTTTAGATTAGTTTCCTTTATTCTGAATGTGTTGGAGTAGACCAGAGAAGAACTGAATGACACTTTTTCTGGTTTAATAAAGTTTCAAGCTAAATAAAGAAATAGATTAAATAAATATACATAAACCTTCAACTTTGTTGGAACGGTGACGGAATATGCTGCGATGGGTTCTTTAAAGTGTTACAAATCTTCATGTAAAGCTTAAATTGATTACATATTATGAATTCAACTATTGGTCTCTGATGTCTGATGTCTGAGTTAGACATCAGAGACCAATAGTACCAATAATAAGGGGAGTGGTGGCGCAGAAGTTAAAGAAGGTGGGCCTGTGATCGGAAGATCGCCGGTTCAAGCCCCAGTACGGGGCAGCTGTGGCTGAGTGGTTAGAGCAGTTGTCCTCTAATGCGAGAGTTGGAGGTTCGAATCCACCAGCAGTCAAATGCCGAAGTGTCCCTGGGCAAGACACTGAACCCCTCGTTGCCTCTGATGTGTGTCCCATCAGTGTATGAATGTGATCTAAAGCACTGATTAGTCTCATTAGAATTATTTGTTCAATTAGCTTTGTAGAGATCTAGTGCTGTGTGGATGGGTAAATGAGGCACAGATTGTAGTGTAAAGTGCTTTGAGTATCTTGAAATAAGATAGAAAGGTGCTATATAAGTACAGTCCATTTACCATTTACTGACAACATCAAAAATGTGGGTGGGGTAGGTGAAGCACCCACACCTGCCCCCACCCTCATTCGTCCCACTTTGGGTCCTTGAGCAAGTCCCTTAACCCCCACCATCTGCTCCTCCGGGTGTCCTAGATAGCAGCTCTCTGCTCCACACAGAGGGCTGTGGTAGCTCGGTGGTCTGTGGTTGTGTCAGGAAGGGCATCCGGCGTAAAAAATAATGGCCAAATCTTTGTGCGATTTAGTTCGCTGTGGCGACCCCTAAAATAGGAAGCAGCCAAAAGAAGAAGAAGAAGAAGGTCTCTGATGTCTGAGTTAGCTAACATATGCAAGTTGTTAGCATAAGCTTTGGAAACAATAGAGGTGAAGAAAAAAATATAAAATAAAGTAAGGAAGACAGTTCCTTAAATTATTGAAGTTTTTTTAATCACATTGATGATGACTGATTGTTTTGCATGTATTAAGCCTACTTTTGAGATTCCAACAGGAGGTTGTCTTGAAACACAGCAGCGAAGGCTACTTATGGGACAGATCTGGTTGGCAAGCTGTAGACTGACAAAGTCCTCTGGATGGGGGACGAAATGTCCATCCACAAATCCATTATCTTTTATCCACTTCTTCCTTTTTGGGTCGTGAGGGTCATCACTGGTGTCCATATCCAGCAGTCACTGTGCGAGAGGCGGGGGACAACTTGGACAGGTCTCCAGTCCATCACAGGGACACATAGAGACAAACGAGACAAACAACCATTCACTCTCTCACTCACACCTAGAGACAATTTAGAGTTACCAATCAGTCTAACATGTATGTTTCTGGTCTGTGGAAGGAAACCCACACAGCACAGAGAGATCATGAAAACTCCACCCAGAAAGGCCCCGGACGGGGATTTGAACCAGGACAACCTGCTCATTGAGAGGCAGCAGCTCTACCAGCAGCGCCATCGTGCTGCTTGGGTTGAAATGTCTCTCACTTAAAGAAACTGGTCCAGAAGACACAATGTGGCAGCAGCGTAGACAAAGAGAAGAAGATGCTGAGGGAGAATGAGGAGGAGCAGGAGCACAGGAGGAGGGCCGAGAAGAAGCTGCTGGCCTTCTGGATGTCCCTGTCCCACAGGAGGTGGACTCTTTTCAAGCCCCGCGAGAGACCTAGCTTCTTCCAGCGCTCGACCTCATCTGCTCGTTTGCTGAAGAATGAGGCGTGAGGAGAGAGACGGTGTGTGTGCATGTGTGTGTGTGTGTGTCAGTGGCGTATCTAGATTGTTTTTCTTAGGGCAGTAAAGCTTTGACATAAAGTTGCAGCAGAGGGGAAACTTCTTGTTGGAGGACAAGTTAAATTTTAGATGTAGATGTATTAAAGGTCTTTGTCTTTCAGGAATAATGACACGAAACCTGAGAGCCGATTGTTCGTCATGTCATTTTGTCCCAGACTTACACAAAGTAGCTGCTGAGTTACTGCATATTTTAACGTCATCTTAAAATTCATAACTTTATTTTTTTATTTTTACTATAATGTTTTCCGTGCAGAGGAGTCCTGTCAGGCCTGATTGGCTGGTGGTACTCCAGAGGCGGCTGAGGGGTATCTGCAGGCTGCAGCCCTGTTGTTGCTGAGGCATAGATCTGGAGGGGAGCTTGTTGAGACCTTGGATAGAGACTTTCAATCAAGAAGATTTTGGTCAACCATAAGGTGGGGAAAAAACAACACATTACCAGTACTGGGTGGAGGTGGAGTGATGTTTGTCTCAACCATGTAGTGGAAGGAATACTTGGAGGCCCTTCTCTATCCCATCAGCCCAGAGGTCATTTCATGTGTTTTCCTCCACTTCTTCCACTTTTATGGAGAAAGTCAAGTCAAGTCAGATTTATTTATAGAGCACAAGACCTGAGTTCAGTGAGGTAGTTAAAAGCTCAGTGGCAGCTTCCACTGTCAGCCAGTGCCACTTGACTGTCAGACTAGGTTTAAGACTAGGGGTCCGGAGGGTGTGCTCTGATTATGGGGCATCCTCCTTGGTAAGGACTCTTCAGGGTGGCTGGAAAAAAAAAAGAGTCTGGTCAATGGTCAAACCTTGAATTCAGGAGGATAAACAAGTCTACATGTGTTTTGTTGTCTTGAAGGCATTTGACCGTGTTTCCAGGGGTACATGGTGGAGCTGCTACTGGTGTACAGGCTTGGGGGTCCATTGCTATGGGTCACTCAGGCTCTAAATGTGAGAGTTTGGTTTGCATTGTCAGCAGTAAGTCGTACCCCTTCCAGCTCTCACTGTAGCTATTTACAGTCAATTTTTATGCTGCTAAAATGAGAATTAGCACCTCCTAAACTAATTCCATGGACATAGAAGGGTGGGTTGTCCTCCCTGCGTTGGTGTGAGGTGCTGCCTCATGTAATGGAGTTTGAGTATTTCAAGAATTTGTTCATGAGTGACGGAAGAGTTTGAGATTGATAGACAGATCAATCCTGCTTCTGCAGTATTGTGCAATAAGCGCCGGTCCGTTGTGGTGTAGGAGCTGTGCAGCAAGGCGAATGTGTCTGTTTTCTGGTCAGTCTATGTTCACACTCTCACTCATGGTCACAAACATGAGATTATGAGAACAAGCTGTCCAAATGAATTTTCCTGCAAGGTACATGATCCTTTAGAAACAGGGTGAAAAGTTCAGTATTCTGCAAGAGGCACAGCGTAAATGGTACAGTAATAAAAATGGCACAATCTTGTAAACAATCAAGGTGTGCAAAGTGTATTTCTTAATTTGTTCATTCATTCATTTTTGTACACAATAATTATGTTAAAAGATCAGTTACCCCTACAACTCCTTTGACCCATTACGCCATCAAACACTGGTCAGATACAGACAAAACTAAAATAAATGGCTCTATAGCATGCTTTGCCTGATGTTTTCCAGTGACAGACCTGCAAAAAAATCTGATAAGACAACACAGATCTTCCTAATACTTATGTCAGTGGAACAAAGCTACTAACTGACCGTTATGCAAGAGTCTGAAAATAAGTAGACGGCTGAGCTAAAAGAAATGACTGAAAACAATAACCACCAAGGAAGAGGAAAGATTGTGTTTAATAATAACAATAATAATGTGTTATGTATTGTCATTATTGTATGTTCTCATACAATGGCGAAATTGGCTCTGCATTTGGCCCGTCCACCTCCAGGTGGTGCAGTGGGCGGCTGTTTGGGGTGCAGGGGGCAACTGGGGATGGGGGTGTGCTGCTCAGAGACACCATGAGATGTGCATTAACTGGGGATTGAGCCTGGGATTGTTGAGTCCTGAGCTGACTGCCCTGCCTCTACATCATCTCGGCCCCCATAAAGCTTTCATACTCAGGATCTGACACCTGCTACTCCAAATGTAGAGTGCCTGTAGTCTTCCAGTGGTCACTTCATTTAGAAAGGGGTGTGTGGATTCTGAATCAATGAGCTTGAACAGAGACTGAATTTCTGTTACTGACTTTCAACATTGTACATGTAAGGATTGTGTTACCTGGTGTCTGGCTCCCTCTTGTGTTGTGTCAGTCCTGTTCTCCTGCCGTCTTCTTGTAATTAGTTCCTCCTCTGCCACTTGTTTGCTCCTCCCAGTTGTTGGTGTTTTACCCTTGTCTGTGTCCTCCTGTATTTAAGTCTCGGTCTTTGTGTTCTCCATGCTCTGGCATTGCTTCCTGCTCCCATCTGGTCCTGACGCTCAGTATCTCTGGATTCCTTGTTCCCTGTGAGTAATGCTGCCTTGTCAACTTGTTGTTTTTGTTAATATAGATTCTTTAATTATCCTGAGAGTGTGTCTGCCTGCATTTGGGTTCACCCAAGACCAGAACATGACAACAACACAGTAACTGGCCAACAACCAGCATGTCAACTGCTGGCTAGACAAGTTGTCCAGTGGCAGCTGCCACTGTGTCCCACCCCCTAGAGTGGTCACTGGTGTGTGTGTGTGTTGGAATCATCAATGCTGCTGCCTCAAGCATCATTTGTGAAGTTCCTCTGTGTTGCTGCCCAACGTCACCTGCTGGATTGTGAAGTAAACTCATGTCCCTTCATATCATTTTTCTCAAAGGAGAAGTCTTCTTACCCAAGAACTATTAGCTGTGACTTATTAACCTGAGAACAGTCAAAAAGAGTGACACTGATCTGAAAGGATTGTCACAAAATTCTCAATGGCAGGTTTTCCTTCCTCCTATAACACCTCCAGCCTTGGATCTGCAAGAACCATTTTGGTGGTGGCCCAACTGGTTCAGTTCATTTTCACACACACACACACACACACACACACACACACACACACACACACACACACACACACACACACACACACACACACACAGGTTTGTTTTGCTATCTTTATGGGGCCTTTGCATTGACTTCCATTCATTTTTCATTCATTTCTATAGCCTAACCATGACCTTTATCCATAACCTAACCATTACCAGTACATACCTAACCCTAAACCTAACACATCCTCAATTCACACCTTAGTCCTAAACCTAGCCCCTAACCCACCAACGGGACTTCTTCTTATGGGGCCCGGGCTTTGGGCCCCATAAGGAGCAGTTGGTCCTCACAATGCAGTATAAGTTGGAAAAATGGGCCTCACAAAGCAGCATAAACAAGGACACACACACACACACACACACACACTATAACAGTGCGTGAATCGGGTCTCCAAAAAGCTATTTAAAGCTTATAGACAGAGCCTGGGTACATATTGCATACAAATTATAACATATTAAAATAACACAATAAAACATCAGTCCTCATAAAAATTCCACATACAATACAGATTATGTTACTTCTGATCAATCAGTTACAGGTCCTACAAGTGATGTCAAGCATATAAATGGAGCAATTTGGTCTAACTGTTTTTTGAAGGTGAAGATAATTTCAACTCTTTCAAAAGCTCATCAAGCTCATTCCAAATATGTGGACCCCTCCCAGAAAAGGTTTGACTGGTTCTGGAGCTGTTTCCAGGAGAAACATGCAAACTAAACAACGTGATCCACAGACTCATACAGGAAAACCCAAGGATGATCAGAGCCAACTGCCATTTGGTGTGTGTGTGTGCTAGTTATGGAAGTACATTAGTCTCAAAAGTAGTCAAAGGCTGACAAGAACCGGTTTGGATCAGCACATCAACACAGAAATGGTTTTAAAAAGTTTATTAGAAAATAAACAGCTTCTGGTGTAGGTCCGGGTCCGATCTGTCAAGACAGAAGCGTTAGTGAACCTGATGAGGAGGCAAGGAGGGGTCCAATGAATGTCACTAACCTTCTGTCTTGATGGAATAACAGGAGATGTAGTCTCGCTGGAGCCGATGACGTCACTCATGCAGAGTGAACAGCAGCAGCGGAGCACACAGAAGGCGTACAGGTCCAATAAGGGCAAATCCAGCTCCCGGGTCCAAGATGGGTAGCAGGGGTTTGAGCACAGGGAGGCAGAGCAGAATAAATAAATAAAAAAACGTGTTCCTGAATCGTGGTCGGTGTGGAGGCGCAGAGTAATAACCAAGAGGACTGAAGCAGACAAAATCCAAAAGGGAGCAGGCAGGTCGGGTAGTCAGAAAACAGGCTTGGGTTCAGAACAAGGCAGGATGCAAAAACAAGAAGTGCTGGATTTCTACTGCTCAGAGAGTTTTGAGAATCTGGTACTGAATGAGGGTGAGCAGGGAGCTTAAGTAGGGAGGTGCACAGGTGCAATGAATGAAGCTGATTGCAGAGGCAGGGAGAGGCGGCATGGTGCAGGCACATGAACTGAGTGATTGACAGGACAGAAAACACTTGGCAGGAGAAAACATGAAACTAGACAGGCTGAGGTAAAAAAAAAAAAAGGGGCAAAAACATGACAAAGGCATACCACAAGATTGACAAATGTATAAGCAGTTATTCAAATGTGCACAATTAAACATGTTCACAATTGTTTAAAAGTGTGCCAAGTTAGAAATGTTTTGTTCCAAGAACTCAGTGAATAAGGTAAAGCTCAGATGTCTCAGTTTTTCATGAACCTTGAACGCAGCACCCCCTTTCTGGAGTGGTGTGTCAAATTGACAGGCAGCTGATCTGTGCGCTTGTGCTGACTCATCTGTGCACATCAAGTGATTTGTGCTCGTGTGTTAGACTGTGAGTGCACAATATTTCTACTTGTGCATTTTGAACTGTGTACATTTGAAAAGCTGAGTTTGTGAATCTTGTGGTACTCGTGTGACTAATTTAGTAAGTTTTAGAAAGACATCCATTGATAATCATGAAAATTCATGAAAATCTGTCCTATGGTTATTTTGCAAACAGACAGAAAGGCAAACTTATAAACGCACGGATATAAGCACTTGCCTGTGGCCTTTTATGGTAGAAGGTGATAGAAATAATAATGGATGGATGGAAGTGACATGTATGACAAAAACACGCTGCAGTAAGTCAAGAAATTAATTTGAGCTAAATTTGAAATTAAAAAACGTTTTGGTAACATTTTATTTCAAGGGGTGTGCATAAGACTGACATGACACACATGAACATGACATGACATTGTCATGTTCATGACATTGTCATGTTCATGACAGTGTCATGTCATGTTCATAACAGTCATGAACATAACATGACACAGTCATGAACATGAACGAGTCTTTATGTATGTTCATGACAGGTGTCATTAAGTGACATTCGATAAATTATGACACCTTTGATGCAAAGTTGACATTGTTTAAAATGCCTGTTATGACAAAGACATTATCATGTTCATGACAGTGTCATGTCTGTCTTGCACACCCTTTCAAATAAAGTGTTATCAGCAGTAAAGTCAATGAGCCTTTTGTCTTGTGCTGATTGTACAAAGACAAAGATGTTGAACATGTTTCTCAAACTGAAGATAAAAAGAACAAGGAAGATATAAAGTTGTAAAGCAGCTGTAGACTGAGCTACATGTGTGTTTTAAAACTGTGCTTTTTTTAGTGCAACTAAATTACCAGTTGTGTGTTTTTCAGCACTGGGAGGTGTTCAAAGAGATTTCTGAGGTTTTTATTTTGGTGCCAGCTCTGGTGGGGCTGAAGGGAAATCTAGAGATGACGTTGGCTTCCAGACTGTCGACGGCGGTGAGTGCAAAAACACAAAGAAATCAACAAAACATGCTTGGTTCAGAACCAGAACATGTGCTGGTACCAGTGACTTTCAGTTAGTATGAACCGGTGACACTTGATTAGGAAATGATCGTAAACCTGTTTGTGTCCAGGCCAACACTGGACAGCTGGATGAGGCCTGGCAGCGGCAGAGGATGGTGTTTTGTAATTTGGCTCTCATTCAGGTGACACACACACACACATGTGCGCACGCGCGCACACATACGTGCGCACGCGCGCACACATACGTGCGCACACACATACACTTTTCTGCTGGATTCATGACAGTGTTGTAGTGAACTCGGCCTCTGACCAAAACCTGCCTCTGAAGACCTTCATGGGACAGGAACTGTTATTTCATTGATTTGAATCCAGAAATACAAATTAGCTCATCCAGAGACTGTCTATCTGTATCCTGAAGTAATCAACTGAAAGAACACTCTTGTTTTTATATTATCATTACTATTTTACAATATCTTGATAATCAAAAGTGTGTTTAGTTCATATCATTTCTAAAGTTGAAATGAACTACTCATTTTAAATCAACTGTGAAACAGTATTAATGATTTTTTTTACACCTCATTTAAATTAGAAATCAAGTTAAATGTCTATTTACAAAGTAATTATGCATTTTGATCTTCTGTCTGAATGAGAAGTAGTGATGTCGGTCGAAAGTCAGAGACAGTCAGAAAGAAGTTTTTAGAACAGGCTCTATTGTTTTTAAACCTAGCAGATGGTAAAAAGAGAAACACTGGCACCTGCAAAGTTTCTCACTTCCTCAAAACATTTCCCTGTCTGTACTAAACGTTCCTAAACATTCTTGCACTTTCTTGACTTGTAATAACCCTCTGACATCACTAGAACCACCCCCTGTTGGTTGTTTCAACCAATCAGGAAGTATTAAGTGACCAGAAGTGAGGACTCTTTTAAAAGTCGACACTTCCTGGAACTATTCAGTCTTCGGGAGTCTTCTCCGTCTTCTCAAGTTCTTCTGAGTTCTTCTGAAGTCTTGGATCTGAGTTGAACTCAGTCTTTGATGGAGTCTTCTCAAGCCTTCTGGAGTCTTCTACATCTGAGTGGAAACTCTATCAAAGACTCAGAAGACTGACTTGAAGACTGAGAGACTCGGGAGACTGAGAAAACCGAGAAAACTAGAAGTTCCAGGAAGTGTGGACTTTTAAAAGAGTTCTCACTTCTGGTCACTTCAGGACTTCCTGATTGGTTGAAACAACCAACAGGGGGTGGTTCTAGTGATGTCAGAGGGTTATTTCAAGTCAAGAAAGTGCATTAATGTTTAGGAACGTTTAGTACAGACAGGGAAATGTTTTGAGGAAGTGAGAAACTTTGTAGGTGCCAGTGTTTCTCTTTTTACAGTCTGCTAGGTTTAAAAACAATATAGCCTGTTCTAAAAACTTCTTTCTGACTGTCTCTGACTTTCGACCGACATCACTACTTCTCATTCAGACAGAAGATCAAAATGCATAATTACTTTGTAAATAGACATTTAACTTGATTTCTAATTTAAATGAGGTGTAAAAAAATCATTAATACTGTTTCACAGTTGATTTAAAATGAGTAGTTCATTTCAACTTTAGAAATGATATGAACTAAACACACTTTTGATTATCAAGATATTGTAAAATAGTAATGATAATATAAAAGAAGAGTGTTCTTTCAATTGATTACTTCAGGATACAATTAGACAGTCTCTGGATGAGCTAATTTGTATTTCTGGATTCAAATCAATGAAATAACAGTTCCTGTCCCATGAAGGTCTTCAGAGGCAGGTTTTGGTCGGAGGCCGAGTTCACTACAGTGTAATTAAACTCCACCATAAACATCTTTTTCCAAGCACTCAACTGAAGCAGCTCGTGTGAGAACAGTTATTTATTTATTTATTTGCCCTAATGAAGTGAAACAAGATGAAGGATGAACATCATCTCCGTGTCTTTTGTCTGTGTATAAATTAACCTAACTCTGTGGGTTTACTGGTAAAAATACCAAAAAAAAATTTCAGACTAAAAAAATCAGATCAAACTGTAAAATGTTTCTTTATTGAAAAGTAAACAATTAAAACCAAAGTAATCGGGTGAATTATTTATTTTAGTAATGATGTAACACAACTGAGAAATGACTAGAGGTCAGTAACTAGGGTTTCTTTTCCCAAAAAATGAAAGTTTTATTTAACCTGAAAATATACAATTTTTTTTTTCTTGTTTGTGTTTTTGTCGTCTTTTATTTGGGCAGTGTTGTCACCTGCCACTAATCTTCCAGTTAACTACCAGCTTTGTGCAGTAATGTTAGCTTATAGCTAGCTTCTGTTAGCTTGTTCTCTAAAACTTCCCTTCATTATCTTTTACCTGCTTTTTTCTTTTTGGATCGTGAGGGTCACTGGTGTCCATGTTCAGCAGTCGCTGTGAGGTAGCGGACACCCTGGACGTCTCCAGTCCATCACAGGGACACACAGAGAAAAACGAGACAAACAACCATTCACTCTTTCACTCTCACCTAGAGACAATTTAGAGTTACCAATTAGCCTAACATGCATGTTTTTGGTCTGTGGGAGGAAACTTGAGTACCTGGAGAAAACCCACACATGCACGGAGAGAACATGAAAACCACCCAGAAAGGTCCCGGGCCAGGATTTGATCCGGCGACCTGCTCGCTGAGAGGCAGCAGCTCTACCAACTGAGCCACCGTGCCTCCCTTAACAAAAACACTAATTGCAAAATGACTCTGATGGAGCCTAACGCTCGTGTCGGTGCTGTTTCATGGTAAAACATGTGAGCCAACGGGGAAAAGTAATTTTGGTTCTATTTCGTATAGGCTTCGTCATTTAAGGCTGTCACTTGTGGGTTTTATCCCGTCATGCGAAGCATTGCACTGAAAAATTTAGTCCATGCCCACCTGCTGTGTGGGTCCCACCCGGTCCATATAAATTACGTTAAGAGCGAGTAATCGGCTCCCATTTTTCTTCAGCAAACTAATAGCACGGTCAGAAGAACGAAGAAGGAAAGTTGTCTAGCTTGACCAACCTTGTTAAGACTGCCTGTGCCACGTCAACCTCCTGTCGTCCCAGTGAGTTCTCCCCGAGGAGAATCAGACGAGCAGTCTTGTTTCAAGGTAAGTGCCGAGGAGTATTCTCAGTGGCAGGTCACTACACGCTGGATGACGCCATCTTGTAATTTTCCTTTATCGCCGACTCTCGCTGCGAATCAGATGGTTCCTCCGGGACAGGCGACGTCAGTAGCAGCCCCCCACTGCTCATTCCCTCCTGGAGAGCGTAGTGTCGGTAGAGGGGGGCTGAGCGAATGCTCACCCCCCCACCCCCCTCACCCCCACCCCTGGACCTTGCTTCGCATCGGCAACCACACCGCTCACAGCCGTCAGTGCCCTTCTCTGGAGCTGCCCAGCATAATCTAGGAGGCAGCTGACATGAAGGGACTTTTTTCCGTCCCTCTCCTTTCCCTGCCCAGATCGGATGATCTAGCAGGAAGGTTTCTGGGCTCCATTCTGGCTCGCCGTCCTGATCCCATCTGGCCTCGTTCCCAGCAGTGACGTCCTACTGGGACAAGGCCGCAGCCGGTTCCTGGTAGAATAGGGCACCGGTTCCCACATTCGCGCCCATCACCAGAGTAGAGGGGTTTTCACCGAGCGGAAATTCCCTCGGTGCCCCCCTGGAGCCGAGCCTGGCGGAGGCTTTCGGAGCAAAGATGTCCAGGTTGGACCAGCGTCCTACGCCTCCAGGTAAGCATAACCAGACGGTGACATCGCTCTCCAACCAAGCTCACCAGTGCGTTCCAGGCGGCCGCAGCGAACAATACGTTACACTGCTGGCGTACAACGTTCAAGAGGCTGGAGGAGACGTAGCGCTCCCTCTGCAAGGCAGCTGACGTCATCCTCAACCTGTGTACCTCTTTGTTGTCTGCTGGTCTCACATCGCAGCCGGAGGACAAGGTTTTCCAGAGGTCCACCTGGCCCGTCACTCCACCTTCCTCTCGGAGGAGCTGCAGAAAGCCTTTTTTTTGGGGCCCCCCCCCCCCCCCCCCCTCAACAAGGGATCATCTTCAAGATGTTCCACGGCTGCACAATGTCTCCCTGCTCCGCTACGCCAGCCCCGCCCGTCAGACATCCCGGCATCCGGAGGTTCAGCATTTCCCTGAGATCGCCAACAGGTGGCGCCCTAGGACAACAAACTGCAGAGCTCCGGGGGAGATGACTCAAAATGACGGTTTGCGGAGGATGTGTGTGAAGATGACACGAGTTTTTGGAATAAAACATCATTTAATGATGAAAGTATCTATTTTTAGCCAGTCTGTCAGTTCAGATGACCTGACAGTGGCTCCTTCACACATCCTCCACACAAAATGAGCCAGTGGCCTTTAAAAAGGTTTTTTCAATCACTGTTACTCCAAAACAAGGTGAGACACCCGCATGACACAACAGTCGTAAGCGAATGTGGTCCGCACAACAAGTTTAGTGGAATAACTTGTTTTCAGCCCAAGCTGCACACCCCTCATCGAAGCGGTGTCAAACGCGCGCTCCCGCGACATGAGCAGCCTTCACCCAAATGGCACTGCGTTGATGAAGGCGCACACACAGCTCCCCAGTGTTTCACCGGCTCGCATCGGCATAAACGTGAGACCGCGGGACGGGTCCGGTGAGAGATCTCGCTCTCAGCAAGAGTGGCACGCGCCTGACCGAAGCAAACATGTGCCTCCGCGGCGCTTGCAGCCTTCACTCAAACGGCATGACGTTGATGAAGGCGCACTCACCGCTTCTCAGCGCTCGCCTGCTCACGTCAGCAAAAATGTGAGACCGCAAAGCGAGCCCAGCGAAGGACCTCACTCTCGGCAGGAGCGACACGCGTCTCACCGCAGTGGCGTCAAACACGCGCTCCCGCTGTATCAACAGTTTTCACAAGCCTCTCCTCAACACACACCGGTCCACATATACATGAATGTGGACCTGCAGCCCGAGCGCAGCACACAGGCGCGCTCAGAGCCCTTTCGAGGAAGTCTCGCCTTGGGTCACGCGGAACACACTCCCACAGATCATGACGGCGGTTGAGGCGGTGGATTGGCTGACATCCGTAAAAACATGACGCACCACCTAAACGCGATCCGCCTCCACGAACGTTACTTAGAGTGGCTGCGAGCTTGCGCGCCAGACAGATGAATGGCCA